ATCTGCCTCAAAGTTCGACGTACTGTGCGTTCAGAGATGCTCTTCTGCCCACCTTGGTTGTAACGGGTGGTTATTTGAGTCACTGTTGCCCTTCTATCAGCTCGAACCAGTCTGGCCATTCTCCTCTGACCTCTGGCATCAACAAGGCATTTCCGCCCACAGAACTGCCGCTCACTGGATGTTTTTTTCTTTTTCGGACCATTCTCTGTAAACCCTAGAGATGGTTGTGCGTGAAAATCCCAGTAGATTAGCAGTTTCTGAAATACTCAGACCAGCCCTTCTGGCACCAACAATCATGCCACGTTCAAAGTCACTCAAATCACCTTTCTTCCCCATACTGATGCTCGGTTTGAACTGCAGGAGATTGTCTTGACCATGTCTACATGCCTAAATGCACTGAGTTGCCGCCATGTGATTGGCTGCTTAGAAATTAAGTGTTAACGAGCAGTTGGACAGGTGTACCTAATAAAGTGGCCGGTGAGTGTATATACCCAATATGGAGATATAACAATGACACCATTCTTGTTGGCAATGCGGTGCATAACAATGGACAAAATTAGTGTAAGTTACATCATCTCATCCACAACAGCAGCATCAGCCTGAACAACAGCATGTGGTCGTTCCTCTTCCAAACAGAATCTGACTCTCGTGAAAGAGTCTGCATATTTCAGCGGCATCACAGCCTATCTATAGCGGCATCGCCAACCCCCCGTATCCCGACAGTGCACCGGTGTCCCATTAACACATCTGACTCCTGAAACGTGGCAGGAATGGCACTGGTATCACACACACAGACATTATTCCCATACTTCTGTTGGGAGGAGCTGAATATGGGCTCTCCATTCCAGTGATGCACATGAAGCATCAAAACATATCAAACATCGCTGACAGAGTCTGCAAGTCATTCAGCACAGACATTCCCCTTAATTGTACTGATAAAGAGTACTAAAATAATATTAATGAAGTAAAAGGTCAAGGTAACGAGAGAACACTTTAATGACGTTTCTTAAAGATACACAGTGTAACTCTTTTAGTTTATTCTTAGCTAAAAACACTTAGTTCTTTCAAAAATATATGTGCTCATTAATGTATATTTACTTTGTTCAAGTAATAAAGTATTCTCGTGAGTGTATAATATGCCATTGAAAATACATACGGGTAAGGAGTCGCCATGTTGTCCCTCCATCTTGAAAGAACATTAGCCAAAGAGGGACATACCCGTTAATTCAAGCTTCGCCTTTCACGTTTACGTTTGAGTTAACACTCATGGACGAGGTTGAACCGGAAGCCATGTTAATCTTGGACTACATTGGCCACCGTAGGAGTTAAAACGAAATCGGAATTGAGAGGAACAGAAACTAATATTCCCTTGATGGTCATATACCTTTTCACCACTAGATGGGGGTAAAAATCACACAGTGTAGCTTTAACACTGAAGTACATTTTACAAAAAAAAAAAAATTATGTTTACACTTTTTATTGGGTCCTTGTTACAGTACTGAGTAATACAAATTAATGCACTTAATGGGTTTGGTTTAGAGTTAGTTGCATATAATTATGCATAATTTACTGTTATTACTAAGTACATGAAGCACGTAGGACAGTAAATAAAGTTACTAAATCTGTTTTGGTTACAAAGTTTAATAATGTTACCAAGTTTTACTGGTTATTTAATATTAATATATATTAAATATGAATTTACAATATCATCATTAACAAATGTTTAACTACATGACAGAAACGACTCTAAAGTAGGCTATATTTTGGTTTAACATAGATGCTTGTCAGTACGTTCGGCATATTTCAAAGACAAAAGAAGTCATTATGTAATTGCCTGCATTTTAAAATCTTGCTTCTTGATGAATATGATCCCGTAGGAAGGGTCTTGTCCTTAACTCTCAGTGTCCGCAAATCTCATGCTGCAATCTTAACTATGGCATGTATGTTGGGCCATGAACTCCACACAGTACCGTGAGACCGATCTTATGACCAGAGCCACAGCTGTCGCAACCGTGTACTAATACAGGAGACATACACACACACTTCAACTCAACATTTCAGTGCTTTTAGCAAGTATGTGGAACATTAAGACACTCAGGTTAGCTTCTTCTGATCTGCAGTTGAAAATCATTATCAGCATTCAGAGTTTCTTCCATTATGAACGTATAATAACTTGATTTACCACACATGAAAGAAATCCACAGAAGCCAAAATCAATGAAAGCACCAAAAACAGTGATTTTTTTCAGATTTATGCAAATTCACTAATCACCAAGTCAATTCCCATATTCATATTTAGCTGTACTAAAGTTTCCACGTCAATCCGAGAGTCTTGTCATTGTGAGCAAAACTCACCACAGTCATATTACCTTTATTGTTTCCTTGTGCAGAATCAATTATTCCCTCAGTAACAAACTCTCTCTGTCTCCCCCTTCTCTCAGCCAGCGTATTCTCTGACTGACTCGCACTGACCGCGACATTAGCAGTATTATTATGGACTCTGACAGGGGAGGCGGTCAGCAAGCCAATCGGATAAAGCCATACACAGAGGGTGAGAGAGTGGGCTTGAGGAGCGTCTCAATATCATAACACAAAAAGAATATGGCCTGAGATTTCAATAATACTCTACTCAAATTAACAATATCTGAACATATGAACAAAAGAAGTTGTAATATTGGACCTCTAAAGCCAAAACGAAGACGGAATTATGTTTTTGAGTTTAAGGAGAATGACAGTTCACTCTTTTGTTCTGGCAGTTGTTGTCTCTGAACACCCGAGTAAACACACATCTTTCTGTCCCACAGTGAGGTGTGTGTGCTTGTTTTTTAGGCATCCTTCCCATGAGGAAACCGAGCCGGGGTGATGCCCAAACAACTCAAACTGGTCACAAAACACTGCCAAAATTCATTAGCCCCTCAGCGTGACATGCAGGTGAGTCAAAATAGCACTTGGAGCCTCTATCGCCGGGGTCCCGGCGGTCCGGGTGTTCACATTGTTGTAATGCTGTTATTGTTAGTAGGATAAGCAGTGTAATGAGTCAGGTGGAGGGGAGGCTTCTCTGGCACAAGGTGAGGTGTTCGGTTTATTAGTCAATGCAACTCTCAGCAGAATAGCAGCCAAGAATCTGGAGCTGACAGCTGGCCGTAGACTTCATGTGACACACTGATGGACTGACAGACAGGCAGTGTGATCACATGACAAAGCAAGCCAGAGGAAAGAAACATGTATCCTTGTATCCTTGTGGATACTGTCAACACGATTTCATATCCTAAGGCTTTGGCATTGATTCATCGCAAATATAAATCACATACTTTCTTCTGTTCTCAGATAAACCATTATAAATATTTGACTTCCTTCTTGAACTTCACCTCCCTTTTTAAAACAAGCTGACAAACTGCAGAGTCTAGGGCTGTCAAACGATTAATCGCATCCAAAATAAAAGTTTGTGTTTACATAATATATGTGGGTGCACTGTGTATAATTATTTTGTATATATATATATAAATACACACACATGCATGTATATTTAAGAAAAATATTATTTATATGTAAAATATTTATATTTACATATCATATAAATTATTAAATCTATACACAGTATATACATGAAAATATTTCTTAAATATATACAAGCATGTGTGTGTATTTATATATATAAAATAATTATACACAGTGCACCAACATATAATCGTTTGATAGCCCTATTTAAAACAAAAAAGTATATATGTTTAATCGCATTAAAGTAAAAAATAGAGGTGCATATTAAATCATTTAAATAACTGAATAATGTCAAAAACTTTTGTTGTGCTGACACGAAAAACTGGCAATTAATAAATATTTGTTTATTATTAATTTTTCCTGTGTTCTCAGTTTTATATTCCCTGTTCTTAATGACATCATACACCATGAAGTGACATCATTTTCAGCAGGAAAACAGCACATAGCATCAGTAAGTATGAGCTTTATGAATTTATAAAAACACTATTCTATTTAATATAATCACAATACTCTTAATTTTGATTACTTTATTTAAAATTCAGATGAACTAATTAGTAAACAATTTGATTGGCCCCATTGACTTCCGTTGTATTTTTTTTTTTCCTACTATGAAAGTCAATGGAGCTGGTTATCAACATTCCTCTAAATATCTTCTTGTGTGTTCAACAGAAGAAATAAAAGTCATACAGGTTTGGAACAACATGACGGTGAGTAAATGATGACAACATTTTTTATTTTTGGCTGAACTATCCCTTTAAGTGCGAACTGAATGTAATGTTTTAGACACTTAATTGCCTGTTATTTACAATTTAATAAAAAGTTAACCTTAACCCTAACAGTGTAAATTTATGTTAAATGCAATAGTTGAATTTAAGAGTGTTTCTGGGTGCAAGTACAACTATATATGTAATTTCATTGTGTTTCGAATACGCCTGACAAGCATTTTCTGTAAACCAAAATATATTTGTATAACTGTAAACTATACATATACTAAAATGTAATTGAAAAAATATTTAATTAAACATTTGTATTGATGAAGCTGCAATTTAGTACATTTAAAATATATTAACTCTTAATGTAATAAGACACAACGCATAAAATTATATACTTTACATGTATGTTGGTATGTTAGTCAACACATCCAAGTAAGTGTACTTCTTTAAAGCATGACAAAAGCATCATGATTAAAAATGTACTTAAAAAAACTTTTACAAATGTCCTTGTTACACATTACATGTAGTTACTGTATTAATAACTATAATTTATTCATGATTACATCCAACTAAGCCTAACCCACACCCTAACCCCATGTAGTTTTTAACACAGTACTTAAATGTATAATAACACTGTGTAAAGTGTAACCAAAAACTGTACTTAAGCGTGTTAAAGTGTATTCTTTAAGTGTCCTTTGATTTCATTAATATATTATCTAAAAAAAAAATCTGATTCAACACAATTACACACACTTCTTTTTCTGAATGGTTATGATATCAGCAAACCCACCTGCATCTGAAGAGGGTGTCCAGGTGATCCGGAAGATCCCTCGCAGACACTCACACATGGCTCACACACACACTGAACATGCATCACACGCGGCGCAACTACGGGTCAGGCCTCGGGTCGGGTCTCTGCGAGTAGATCGCTTCCAGCGAGCGTGAAGGGGAGACGGGCACTGACTCGGGAAGAGAGGGCAAACACATACAGGAGGGGGTCAGGGATCCAAACAGAGAGTGTGCATTCGGCTTTCTTTGTTGGGGGGGCATGTCGGTGTCAAAAGTGAACGAGAAAAAAAAAGAGATGGATGGACAGAGGCCGACAACAGGGAGACGGGACAGAATGCTGCATTAGCCGGCACTGAGAGTCAGCAGTTTGCGGCCCCTGACTAAAGCTCCTGCCTTTTGTTCATCCGTGCGGAGGCTTTAGTCCAGGCCTTGTTATCGGGCTTAGTGAGAGACCACTATCAGGGCTTCTGTCAGACAGAGCTCAACAGCTCCCACAATATAATTAAAAGAAAAACACATTCCCTCACACGCAGTCACAAACAGGCCCGAACAGGCACAGGCCTCTGCCAGCACACGTTGAAAATGACCAATTTTTTTTTTTTTTTTGCATAAATATTATGGAAGTCAATGGCTTCACTGTTTTAATGCTAACATTGTTTAATATATATATATATATATATTTGTGTTCAGCAGAAGAAAGAAACTCATACAGGTTTAGAACAACTTGAGAGTGAGTAAAATGATGACAAAATTGTTCATTTTTGGGTGAACCATCGCTTTTTAGTTATGCAATTTCATATTCACTTCTAAAATATGGTTCAAGTCTACTGCCGAATGTACTCGCGTAAATGCGTCTCTTGTGTTTTCTCGCGCAATGCGTCTCGTGTCGCATTGTGTTTATCGTGCAATTTATACGCGAAAATGAGTTTTTACGTGCATATGAGACACAGTTTTCGCATGTATTTGATATGTAGTTCATTTGTGTGTAGGCTAATACACACCTTGTTGTAAAAGCCTTGTTCACACTACATGATTTCAAAACGCCAGGCTGACACTACATGACTTGCTCTCTGTGAAATCAGGAGTGTTCAAGTTGTTTAGCTGTTCACACCACATGACACAACACGTGATTGATCCGCAACAGGAGGTAACGCACTACACGAGTTGACAACGCACTACATAGAGATACAACCACGATCGGATGATAAGAGCAAATCATTTTTGACTCTAATGAGAGCTGTTTCAGTACTATGGTATGGTCTAAATCCTGAAAATAATCAAATAAATAACGAGTTGACAACAACTCTCGTCACCCAACGATTCTATCTTGTCTACAAACCACGTTTTGTCACGAAAACCCACGCAATAAAACAAACCAGAAATGACGCGAAACAGCACGCGCGCCAGAACAGAAACTAGTGCCGCACACTGTTTGCGCGATGATTTGCTCTGAGAAAAAAAGCAAAAAAAAAAAAAAAAAAAAGGCAAAAATAAGATTTACCTGGTGACCTCAACCCATGCCTTGCTCTGATTGGCTGTAGCTCATGATATCACTGAGGTTGAGTCGCGCGACGGCTCTGGATATCTAGCATGCTAGATATTTTTCTGGGCTCGGCGACGCATCTGCGAGCGTCTTTGATGCGTTGTTGGCTCTTTCATACTAACAGATTGGCAAGCGTTCATCGCCCGCTAATCTTCCGCGATTTGCACACAATAACACCCTGACCTGTCAGCGAGCTCAACGATTTGCAAAACGGGCTTAAAATCCTGCGTGCTATAAATAAGCATTTAGTGTGATCGGTTTGGACAAGCATTTATGGTAAACTGGAATATGTATTTTATTGAACTTGTATATGATTTAAATATATTTGTACTTGCACATTTGGTTTTAAGTTGGAATTTAGTTCATTTAAAATATATTACCTGTAAAATGTAACTCAAATAACACACTTCACGTACGTACGTTAGTTGACATATCAAAATGTGTACTTCTTTAATAGCCTACATGACAAAAGAAAGATCATTAAAACACAATGTACTTTGTTTTTTATAGTTTACTTCTTAAAGAGCACACTCATGACGTTTAATAATAGCATGTTTGGACACTATATTTATAACACACTTAAAGCTATAGGGTATACGATTTCAAAGATTGTTCATTATTAATATCCTCGTTTATATGCTGGTTATGGTTATATAGTACAATCCTAACAATAGGAATAGAGAAAAGTGACATAGGTCAGGGATCAGGTAGCACAGAGGGGAGGGGTGTGTGTGTGTGGAGGGGCGGGATGAGTTTTTTAAAACTTCCCTACCGTCTCAGGCTTTCTCGACCGATTTTTAACATTGTATACCATAGCTTAAATGCACTTTGCAATAAGGTATAATATAGTCTCAAAAACATGGTTTAAAATAACTGACGTCACAACAACTACATGGTAGCCATATGACGTCAAGGAGTGGATCTTTAAGCTCGAGTGAGTGAGAAAACATTTAAATATGTAATTCTGGCGAGTCTTGGATACAATTATTGACTACAGGGGGACTTTAAGATTTGAAGTACACTGCAAGTGCACATTCACTAAAATTATAATATATATGAATACATAATAATACAAAAAAATGCACATCTGGCACATTATAAACAAACAGCCTCCATCTAAATCATGTTCTGAACTGAAGCATCTTGAATAATGTTAATTTCTCACGCATTAGAACCACAGAATCCAGGCTCGTGTTTGTAAACATATTCATAATTCATGCTCAGAGGATACCGCCTTAAAAATGCATGATTACCTCGTACTAACAACTAAAGCTACATTTTTGGAGTAGGCCTCGTCTCTGTAAGATCTTTGTACATCAGCCTTATACAAAATTAAATTGCCAAAAAAAAAATTATCGTTCTATTATGCTGAACACAAAGCATCCTAACTACACTAAAATACTTGATGTACACTGCAGTGCGGACCTTTTGAGTTTTGACCAGAATGCATGCTGGGAATTAATCACATGTTTTAATCCTTTGACAAGTACAACCACAGCAAACATTCAGATGTGTTTGTGCTGCCGCTGAGCCAGAGAGAGCAGTGTCATGTACAGGTATGAAACAGCTTCCCGGTATCATTATTTTTGTCACAATAATTCATAATATCACAGAAGTACCAAGATCAAAGTGTATAGACCATTTTGCAAGATGTAAACAACACTGGTCCAGAAACACTTCCTGTTTCAGTTTGTAACTGTTTTCTTTATTTCGCATGTAAGAAAAAATCTTAAAGATGATGTTTAACTTTTTGTTTCAGTTTTACATGTTCTCTTGGTTGTATTTTATCCCAGCTTTTATGTAGTGTTAAAAACTGAAACAGGAAGCGCTTCTGCACCAGTGTTGTTTACATCTTGTGAAATGGTCTATAGTTTGTATGTAAACGCTGATGTCTATGGTAGATATTAAAATAGAGTAAATCATCTTTTGTAAGTAATTTGATGCTTCAAATAAAGATTACATGGTTGCACCAGTTGCAAAAAATGTACCATTGAATCATTCATTCAAGAGATTTGTTCAAAAACACGATTCATCCAGCAAGGTCTTTTTAAAGGGCGTGTTTACTGCTTTTTTTTTCTTCGCCTGATTGTGTTTATGGGGTGCAATAAACATGTATTCGTGGTTTTTCTTTTTTTAAAAGTCTTATTTTTCATAAACTTCACCTTTATTGTCAGCCGCGCTCTCCTCTGTCCTCTGAACGACCGGTCGACTTCCTGATTCTATGAAACCAATCCCTCAGAAATAGGCAGTGGGATCAGATTGGTTAGTTTGGGCTGGTGTGTGGTGATTGGCTAAACTGTCGCTTACGTTATCCGGAAGGTTAACGCCCATTACCTTTACGAGCGAAACGTGACTACGCTCCGGTCCAGATGTAAATAATGGTGTCGAACTGCAGTAAATCAGTTGTGAGGCAGAATCAGACCGAGAAAGCGGCGATGAAGAGAGTCAAACAGAACCTCACCACACACGGCTCTTACTAAACGTTTCTGAATGATAATTTGCCACATTTTTTTTTTTTAACTTTATACACGTTTGTTTTACACAATAGCATCTGACTGGCAACAATAGCAACTGACTGGCTACTAATGTTATACTCAAACAGAAACAGCGTTGGCATTAGTTTATTCTCTATTCGTTGGCATTAGTTGTTCTTGATCAAATCGAAAATAACGTCATAAAGCATATATACATGAAAAATACATTTACAACATTAGTACTTATACAAAATTCAGGTCCATAATGTCGCGTTTGTCGTAGACACAAAATAGCATAACTAGTAGCCTAGTGGCTATGAAAAAAAAATAAAACACAAGGCTACGTCTGGAATTATACATGCAAATACATTTAAAATGATGAAGTCTTAGCCTACTTACAGGTTGTGGCCGAACTGCTGCCTTTGGTTTTAAAGTTGGAACTGCTTCATGTTTTAGTAACAGTTTCTTGTTGAATCCGGTGTTGAACTCGTGGAGATTCTGGAAGCTGTCTTCCGTGAATGCGCAACACAGAGAGCTAGATTACAATCGTCATTTTCAGGAACACAATAAAACATTTTTGTATCCATTGTTGACGAAGTACAGCTTCAGTGGGAAGCCGAACACAGAAGACCTGACAGCTGGGTGAACACAACACACTCGACAGCCGCAAAAATATGGCCATGCCCTTTTTTGCATTTTCCGGAGGGAGGGTTGATGTAAATGTGCGGGTTAGTGACGTCTAAAACCCAGCTGTCATCCCAATCCAGTCGTTTTTGTAGGCATTAAACTTCCTGATTTTTAAAAGACGATATCTCTGCTTACATTGAACTTTCAGCGCTGCAACTTTGCAGATAGGCTACTGTTCATGCACCAACAGCAACATTACAAACTATTTAAAATGAAAAAAGTGAAATCGCAAACACACCCCCCCCCCCCTTTAATTGAGGCATTGAATCATTCATTCTAACCGATTTAAAAAAAATGCATTCAAATTAATTCAAACCAGACAAAGCAATAATTTATTTAACAGGACAATGTATTCAGTGACAATGGCACAGAGAGATACAAAAAGGGACGTGTTCTTAACAAAACCCTATGCACAATAGTTGTTTTCAATTACAATATGATAAAAGATCATTCTCATATATTAAATGTCATGTTCTTTTTTTTTATACACAATGAAATGTTTATCCCTAATATAAACAACAAGTTCCATATCTTCACAAAAGCTGACTTTCGTTTCGGTCCATTCTCACAAGGTGTCCTGAAATGAAAGATTAGAGGAGATTGATTAATTATGGATGAGAAATAAATCAAAAATAACATCTGACAAAAGTGTACATGTCAAGTAGACGACCAATTTAGATTAGAATCTTGTGTAGCGTCATTTTGAGCTAGTACAACCACATCACACCTCCACCCATCTTCCCATGGGTGCTACACACACCCACCCACTATACTCAAACACACCCACACACACTAGTTCTGTCGAGGCGACCCCAGCTACAGAGTGTACTCTGCAAGGTTTGGGGAGATGCTCGGGATTGCTGTCTGCACCCTCGTCACCACACCGGCCCACAGACAGGACCGGGTGGTAATTAAAGTGCAAGAGGTTTCACGTTCACACACACACACACACACACAAACACACACAGTCTCCCAAGTCAATACTGGAGATATTGAAATGCTTGAGAACCCAAAACATGTTGATTGATTTGTTAGCATTGTGCCCACATGTTGTGCCCATACTTAAAAATAATGTGTCAGCTATGAACAATGTCAGCATGAAACACATGCACACATTAAAGGGATAGTTCACTTTGAAATTAATTTTTGGTATGTTTTAGCTTACCTCAACGGCATCCAAGATGTAGGTGTCTTTGTTTCTGCAGTATTTTCAATTTTGATATTTTTATGTCAATCCGTTCTCATCTGTCAGTCATACTGTATAATGGAGGTCTATGGTCACCACCTCAAAGAGTATGCACAGAGAAGTCCAAATTAAACATGACTTAATGACTCGTAAATGTAAGTACACATTGATGGTCTAAGACACGAAAAGAGCGGTTTGTGTGAGAAAACGAACAGTATTTATATCGTTTTTACCTCTTGTAATAACAGCCACAAAGTGCCCAAGGCCTCAGATCACTTGGAGGTGGCTGTGATTACAAGAGGTAAAAACAATATAATTATTGTTCATTTTCTCACACAAACCGCTCGGCCATCAATGTGTACTTACATTTAGAAGTCATTAAATCATGTTTAATTTGGACTTCTCTGTCCATGCTCTTTGAGGTGGTGACCATAGACCTCCATTATATGACTGACAGACAAGAACGGTTTGACCTAAAAATATCAAAATTGAAAATACTGTGGAAACAAAGACACCTACATTGTGGATGCTCTTGAGGTAAGCTAAAACATATCGAAGATTAATTTCAAAGTGAACTATCCATTTATATCATAATCATAAACATGTCTATATTTATGTACCTGTCAAAAGATATTTTAAAAAGAAGTCTCTTATGCTCTCCAAGGCTGTTTATTAGATGGAAAATACAGTAAAAGCACTAATATTGTAAAATATTATTACAATATCAAATACCTGTTTTCTCTTTGATTTTAAAATATAATTTATTCCTGTGATCCTACTCCAGTCTTGAGTGTCACATGATCCTTCAAAAATCACTCTAATATAAAAAAAAAAAAAACAGGTCCAATTTTTGTGGAAACGGTGATATCATATTAGAATGATTTCTGAAGGATCGTGTGACACTCAAGACTGGAGTAATGATGCTGAAAATTCATATGAATTATTCCAAACTTTTGACAGGTAGAGTATGTGTAAATATATAAATCTGCAATGGTCTGAACCTGGAGTGGGAATTTATTTCCCACATAATCACTGAAGTGGACCATGGGCACAGCAAAATGAAGAGCTCATGGAGGTCCAAAAGTGTCAATGATTAAATGTAGACAGACTCAAGATGATGAAAACAGATTTTACCGACGATTTAAAGAGGGTGGTGAGTATAAACACAGGACGTCCTTGCAGTGACCCTCAGCGTCCATGGCAGTGTCCAGTCAAACACACACCCTCACAGACCACGTACATCAGCTGGGCTGGCTAGAGATCGGAAGAAGAATAAACAGGTTGGGTCCAGTTGAAACAGTAAAGTGTACTGTTTAAATAGTGGCCTTTCATTTATTCAATTAATATTATATTATCTGCATATATATATATATATATATATATATATATTACCACCATACATGCACATTTAATACAATTAAGTGCACTTCTTTTTCCACAAGCATACTCTGAAAAGAGTTTGGTCACATTAAATGGGATGTAGAACATTGAAATAACCTACATTCAACAAAACAGTAAAATATGTAAAAACAATGTATAGTAGTTATTGTTTTTGTTCATTGAACTCATTTTTTAATATTTAATATTTTTTTTATATATATTTTTTATTGCAGAAAAGGTAGTGCAATGGAATTTGCGATAGCTATTCTTCTCTATTGTGACGTACATTCCAATAAAATTTATAAAAATTAAGGGCGGGACTCGTTGTGGTTTCCTATTGGTCGATCTTATGTGAGTGACAGGTTGCCCCGCCCTCGCGCGAGATGTCACTGACTCACTACAAGAGGGAGGACAACTAATTTTCAATAAAGATTATGAGACATGCATTGTGATGATGTGCATAGATACATCATCTTGGATAATTAGTACTGCAATACTCAATAAAAAACAAGAATTGTCTATTCAATTTAACGCTATTTATAACAGGACTGAAGCTGCCAGATCTGTGGATTATACACTGCCCTCTGGTGTAGCTAAAGTTATATGCCAAAGCCAGACAAAAGAAGATTTTTAAACTCGAATGAACTGAAACATTAGTAAAAGAGGCAGAACGTTTTAGCGTTAATAACATACTGCTAATACAAATACGCAAAATAATGATGCGTTTTGTATTATAGCTTGCGAATAACAATTTTAGAGTGAAATCCAACAAGTGTCTAAAGGCCAAAACAAAAATGCATTCACTTCGGCTTTAGCGTGATTAATAATGGTAATGGTCAGTGTACTAATTGTTTAATGATCTCACATCCCAATCCCGTATAAGTTATAACAGATAAGTTAGCTAGAACAAACGCGACTTTAACGTTACACTTCATTTTCATTGTGAATGGATGAAAAATAAAACCTGAAATAATGAGCAACACACCCCACTGCTCTCAGATTAAATGAGATGAGCCAAAAACGCTAATATAGTGTGTCATGATATATTATATATAGATGTGTGAACCATTGTGTTATTTACATTATGTTTTAAGTTTGCATTTCTTTAAAATAATTCAAACTTTCCAGTTTCTCGGTCAAATCGACCGTGCTGGACATATGATCAATTATGAATGACCTTGGAGACTTTGTTACCAGTGCTGGGATAAAAAAAATGTTATAAAAATGATATCTTATTGTGTATTTATCAGAGAAAACTCACCGCCATCTTCCGCTCCTTCTTGCGCTCCACCTCCACAGGCGTTCACATCTTTTCCAACGGGATTATAACAAGTCCCGCCCCTGATTCATCACTCTTTGTTATGGTTGGTCATGCTCTGTAAACGATATCTTTACGGTCCAATCGCAAACTACACATAACTCATTTTAACCAATCCTATACAAGGAGGCGTGGTTTGCTAAATACCGGTGGCAGAAAATAACGGACACAACATGGTCCACGAGAAATATCCATTTATGGAAATGCAGCCAATTTTAAAAATAGACATAAATAAATACTCGGAATTAGCTGCGTTGACAAATAAAGTAGCGAACGTTAAGTTTATGTACAAAACTAAAATGAAAAAAAATGTTGAAATTGATTAGAGGAGAGTCGATCATGCAAACACATGAATACTTCAATAGAGTTTAAATATATTATTATAATTACCGTGTCAAAATATGAAATGACATCATATTTGTGAGTTAGAAAGGCACAAAGTCACAATCAGAATAATGAACATAGGCTATCATGCACATTTCACATTGCAAAATGGCACCACAATGGTTTTCTTTGTTCTGAGAAAAACGAAACAAAAAGATGTTGTAGGCTACTTATGATTTGACTTATTTCATGGCATTCATGTTAAACCTGTCATTTGAAATATCTCATGCCTTTATAAATGCATTGTTCATTGCATTATCCCAATCATTTTCCAGAAGCATCCATAATAATTTTCAGCATCAGACAAAAGAATTGCATACATGTTCTTGCAAAGGCAAAACATGATGCAATATTAATCAAACTCCACATTTGAACAATGTCAAATGACTTGAAAATAGAGAGTGATCACTTGTTTTTATGTTTATTTAAAATCGGTTTACATCTTAAAACATTACTCTCAAAGAAAAAGAAAGACCTTAAATGTAAAATGAACTGAATTTTAAACCCCTATTAAAAAAAGAACAGCCAATAAATTGTGCGCATTTTTGAAAACAAAAAAGTTCTAAAAGTAAAAAAACAAAACAAAAAACAACTCACACATCCCTCATTATTGCTCACTATTCCTCTTTATAATGATGAATTTTCTGATATGAATCTTCTACATGGGCACTCTTGGCATTTTCACTTCCAGATATGTGACCTAATAATAATAAAAAGAAAACATCATCACAATTTCTAACCCAACAAGTCCAAACTAGCTAAAGCAGCCCAGTGATGCTGGCCAAATTATCTATATATATATATATATAAAAATCTATAAAGACTACTTCAGATGTACAGGACAGCACAGCAATTATGAAATCACTTTAGAAAGAGAAAGCAGCTATGAACAAACTTTTAAAATCAACGGTAAAACGATTCCACCTGAGACACTACAGGTTCAATACATGTTAAAATGATCGATCAACAGGAAGGCATTTCTGTTACGAGGTATTGCATGTCATTTAGACGACATTTTGTGCAAAACATATGCAAAGAGTATTAAATTGTTATTATCATTATTGAAAAAACACGTTCTTCAACTCCCACCTCTTGTTTAGTGCACTTTTGTCAAAAGTAAAAGTAGCTCATGGCAAGATGATCAGGGGAGGAGGTATTTAAGAGCCCAAAAATGGAGCATAGATCTATGCCCTGAATACCATACTTCAAATGCCATCAGCAGTGTGTGGCTCAGCACTCAACAGCGCCACCTGCAGTGTGAAGAACACAGCCTGGACTAGCACACCACTTTCCGGTTGGATCTGTGGTTAATGTCAGTGCTGTACTGAGAGTCCCAGTCTCTCTCGAACACTTCCTGCAGCTGCTCCTGCACTGTAGGACCTGCGGACTGAGCTGAAGTCTGGTTCACCACTAATGCAGAACCAGCCGTGTTCACGAAGTAGTCACCTGACCAGTTAGAGGTACCTGGAAAGTATGGAAGCACGTTATATTGAATATCTTTAATGCACTAACATTTAAATGAATCATTTGATACAATGCACTTGTTGTGTACATATATATATATTTAATATTTAAAAATACCTGCATGTAATAATAACATCTAAAAATAGGGATGCACAGAATATCAGCCACCATATCGGTTTAAGAAAATGTGGCTGATGTATTAAACCCGTTAAATAATGGATTATTTTTTGATCCAAGTAGGCCACATAGTACTTGCCAAGTAACAGATCATACCGGAAAATGAATTAAGATATGTAAAAACTAAAAAAAAAAAAAAAAAATGAGTCATACCTATATAAGCAACCTTATCTGTGACCATGTACTTGTTATGGTTGACTCTGGCAAAGGGAATTTTCTTCTGTCGAGGGTCAGATGGCACCGTAAAGATTTTCTGTGAGAAGGAAAAATAGTGTGTATTAGCTTATTGCAGTCATACACTACTGCTTTTCGGTGTTGTACACCACACAGGGGTTCAGATTACACCTTTAGCTCCATTCATAAGTATTCGCATGCTTTTAAATGGAGCTAAAGGTAATTTGAACACACGTGAGACAGGAAACACAAGTTTTGCATTACAAAGTTCATGTATGGTGCGACCAATAGAAGATCACTAAGCCACTAATCGTGACCTTTCAGCTGAATGAAAAGAATGCAAACTTTAAATATGCAGGAATGCAGCGATAAAGTAAAGTGGAGTAGATTTCATGTATTTGAGAGTAGAAATCATGTGTCTAGTGTGACCTTTAAATCATCTAAAGAGACAGCAAGGGCTTTCACATTGTTATAAAAAAAAATGTTACTGTTCTGTTTTCAACATTGAGCTTCTTGAGCTGCAAATCAGCATATTAGAATGATTTCTGAAGGATCATGTGACATGATGCTAAAAATACAGCTTTGATCCCAGGAATAAATTACAATATATTTTTTTTATATTATTTTTGATCAAATAAATGCAGCTTTGGTGAGCTTTTCAAAAACATTACGAAATCTTACCAACCCCAAACTTTTGAACAGTAGTGTGTATGCAACGTGCGTTAATGCAATGCAACACAAGGTATGGTCTCTGACCGGCTGTGTAGTGAGTGTGTGTTACTTCAAACTCTTAGAGCAGCCCTGACGGCACTCACCACTTGAACGTCCAGCTTGTTCTCGTCCTGTAAGGAAGCGAGTGAGCGGAGGAACGGGAACATGATTGGGTTGGTGTTTTCCCAACAGCTGATCAGCAGACGCACACGAACCCTGCGCTCATAAGCCACACGCCGCAGCTGGGCATCGATATCAGTCCAGTACCTGCGGGAAAATCAGGTTGGCTGTTACGTGAAAGTTAGGGACATTTAACAGTCATACAAATCCATGCAGACTGAGACCATTTCACTGCTGTTCCTTTAAGACTTTTATGTGAATCACTGAGTCCTTAAAGCTTCACTCTGACTGGGAGAACCGAGAGAAAGCAGTGTTGCGGGAGGGTTATTATCATTCACTAATCCTAAAGCGAAAACCCTAAGAAAACAATTTATCACTTGAAATATAAAAAAACATTAAAGGAGTAGTTCACTTTTAAAAAAACTTTTGCTGATAATTTACTCACCCCCATGTCATCCAAGATGTCCACGTCTTTCTTTCTTCAGTCGAAAAGAAATTAAGGTTTTTGATGAAAATAATGAATAAAAAAATTTAATAAGCACAAATGCTCGCCTTGCTCTGTTGTTCTATGATGCGCGTTCGTGACTCTCCTGTTCGAACTCGTTCATCAAAATGAACAGATCTTTTTTCGAGTCATTTCGTTAGTTGAATGAACCAAATGACTCGAAAAAAGATTTGTTCATTTTGATGAACGAGTTGGAACACGAGCGTCACGAACCCGCATCACAGAACAGAGCAAGGCGAGCATTTGAGCTTATAAAACTTAAACTTTTTTATTTATTTTTTAAATGAGCGATCGTTTCACTTGATAAGACCCTTATTCATCGTCTGGAATCGTTTAAAGCCCTTTGAACGGTTTGCAGTTTGCACTGAAACTCTCATTTGGACCTTGAACCGTTTGGTTCCCATTGAAGTCCATTATATGGAGAAAATCCTGGAATGTTCTCATCAAAAACCTTAATTTCTTTTCGACTGAAGAAAGAAAGACATGGACATCTTGGATGACATGGGGGTGAGTAAATTATCAGCAAAAGTTTTTTTATAAGTGAACTACTTTAACTGAGATGAAAAAAATATATAAACAGCAAGTGGTCAAGGCAACATTTCTCAGTTTCATTTAGTGCTATTTTTTTAATTTTGGAATTAGATTGTTTATTTTTTACATTTTCATTGTAATTACAGTCAAAGGTTTGAAACTGTGTTGCATAGAAATGTTTTTTATAAATTGTATTTTTTATTTCAGTTATTACAATAATCCTGGTTTTAAGGTTGAAGTACTAAAATAAATAAAAAACTTAATAAAGATTATATAGGCATATTTAAACAACAAAACAACAACAAAAACTAATAAAATTGAGAAAAACGCAACAAAACGTCTAAAACTTCAACTAAGATTTAAATGAAAACTGATTTTTTTTTAAACAAAATCTATAAAGGTATATCAATGATACTGGAATAACACGGTCACAGTTTTTAGGTTTATAGACTGGGGAGGAAATGAGTTCCCTCATGAAATGAATCCTAGAATTACTGATTAAAAAGCCTATGATGTGCACATTTCAAAATGAAGATAGGCTGGTTGGTTATGAAACATGCGCAAAGAGGAAGTGGAGAATATTTTATAGACCTCTTGTGGCTGGAGAACTCCATCGTGGGAAGATAATTCATCACAGCGATGTAGACAAACTGCTGGGCGTCAGCGATCACACTGAGGACGGACTGCAAGTCAGAAGTCCTGCCCTCCGCACACAATGAAGGAGGAGAGCTCTGTGTGACAGAAGAACAGACAGTCCTTTAACTTCCTCTATCCTGACTCAAAACAGCCAAAGAAAACTGCAACCAGAACAAGGAACAATACAAGCCACAAAAATTCCAATGACAGCGTTAAAATCATATTTGACTTTGCTTTATTCCCTTTTATGGCTGAGCCGATTTTATTCGGGGTGAGGGTTTTCTCTTACTGATAGGTAGACACTGGCATCGGTCCCGTTGAGTGACAGC